GCATCCGTCTTTTGCACTGGGTGCCGCTGTTTCCGTTTCCTGGTTTCCGGTGGTCCTCCTTGGGGTCCAGCTCTGGCAAGTGTCTTCGTTGGTTCCCGTGTCTCTGTGTCCTTAACCGCTGTTCCCTGGCCTCCGTTGCTTTCCTTGGGGTCAGCTCTCGCTGACTCGGCCCTGCATGTGTCCCGGCGCGGGGGGTTCCGCGTCTTGGGTCTCGGTCCAAATCTCTGGGGAGTGGCGTCTTTCAGCGTTTGTTCGCATGCACTGTTCCATGTGTTCGAAACCGTCACATCTCATTGCAGGCCCAGTTAGGCCCACGCCTAAGAATGTAAAATGGACCCCCCCGTACTAAGTCTGTGACATTTTCTTTTTTGGGCCCGGGGCCCCCGAAAAGACTTCGAGGCCCCTTCATTTTGCATTTCTGGCTTGGTTCCCAGGTTCCCAAAGCCTCCGAAGAAACAAAGAAAACACGGCACCTGACCCGGAGACCTGAAGCCATTCATATCCAGCCGTCTTGACCTCGGCTGGCTGCATATGTCGTTATCCAAGTGTTATTCACAGCCACATGATACCACCAGTATAATATAAACAGTGTTGGGACAGTGTATGGGCAGTAGCAACATGCTGCTACTCGTGCCCAAAAATGGCATAGCCCTGTCGGAAAGAAGTGCTCTCGAAGACAGACAGGGTAAGAGGCGTTCCTGGTTGCCATTCTGTACGCGGCCAGTGCGATGACACAGTGTGCGTTCATCTCATGTCCAGTCCATGATTAAGGGTGACCTGCAGAGGTCCCAGCAAGTGTAGCACGGGAGGAATGTAAAACGACCCCCCCCTTCATTTTACATTTCCAGGTCCCCGGGAGCTGACTGGCAATTGACTAGCTGGGATCCGACCCCTGAACCTTTCTGTTAGATGCTGGCTTGATACCTGCCGGATTCCTACACATCTCCTCCAAGTAAGCCCCAAAACCCTTGGAAATGTAAAATGACGGCCCCCCCTTCATTTACATTTCCAGGTCCCTGGCGAGTCTGGGTCTGATGAGCTAGAGTCCCATTGAAGTCCTACTTGTATCCTGCGCACATCTGCCATAAGTCTGAGTGACGTCTCCGCCCCTGCAAAAGTCCTGGGTGGTGGGGCCTGGGTGGCTTTGGGGCGGAGGAGGGGCGGGGGCGTAATGCAATGTAAACTGGAGGGGGGCCTTCATTTTACATTGCAAAGCAAACAAGATCACAGCTGAGCAGTACAGTCGGGGTGTGTGGTCCAAGTTTTCGTTGGTGGCACCGACAGATGCCAGCCGACTTCTTGTCTTTGAAGCTTTCCTGAAAGCCATTGGGGACGTCAGTCCGGACCTGCTGCCGATAGCAAACTAGTGGCCCTGGCCCAAGTCTAGCCCAGGCAGTGCCCACGCCACATACTGCTCCAGTACTGCTCCCATAAGCCCTGTCTGAACCCTAAACATTGACCGCGCTGTGGCAGCAGAATCGTGCAGCATCGAAGCTGCGAAGTGGCAGTGGAATAGCTGCTGCGAACCAAGAGACCGCAAGGGGGGTAATGAAAAGAATGCTGAAGCTCTTTGAGGAGAGAGAGTGGAGAGGGTAGACTGAGACGAGGGAGAGTGCAGGGAGAGTGTGAGGGGAGTGAAGATAGTGACCACCTTGGATTCAACACTGATTTCATCCTTTCTCTTGTGGTTAGCCCCCCCCCCTTCGTTTTACATTCTGTCGGGTGGTTCCGGGGACACGGAAATGTAAAATCCAGGGGCCCCCATGCAAAACACGTTGGGCGTATGGGTGCCCAGTTAGTCTGCGCTTGCCTCCCGTTGGTGTGTCACCTCCGCCGTCTCCACGCCGCTCTGACGCGCTCCTGGCTCCTGGGAGTGCCTCGCTAGCCGCTAGCCCCCCTGCTTGGCGCCTCCACCAACTGCGTGCACCTGCTCAATATAATGTTACCCTCCCGGTTGCCGGTAAACCTTGTCAGTTCTCCCGCATTGCCTTTGTTCAGGTTGGCTTGGCGGGCGTCCACGTCCGTAGCCACCCCAGTCTGCGTACCGCTGTGCCGTGCCCACACAACGCAATGAAGTTCAAGTTGTTGGTTGCGCGCAGGCCCGGCTCCTCCCAGCTTTGCCTGCCATACGGGCTACCCTCTTGGGTTTGTTTTCTTTGGGGTCTTCTTGGGCAGCTTTCGGTCTCAGTGGCGGCGTTCTGGTGGCTATTCCCAGGCCTGCCAATTGCCGGCGGTCACTCGGGCACTTATCCGTCGCTCCTGGGTTTGGGGCCTTCTTGTGTGTGTGAGTGTGTGCGTGTGGGCGTGGGCGGTTGTGGGGGGCGCCTTTGCGGTTTGGTTTGCCGGGTTCGTGGTTGGGGCAAACGTCTCTTGGCTGCAACCAGCTAGTTCCTCGACTTGAACCCTCCGCGGAGGTGTGCCGTGACGTTTTCGGAGCGCACCTGAGATGCGGAGGGGGACGTGGTTGTATGGCAGCGAGTACCCTCGCGTGCCGGTCTTCCTTCCTTCCTTCCTTCCTTCCTTCAGCCAGGTCTATGATACGTAAACCTTTCAAAGGGATCAAGAAGGGTGCTGAATGAACTTAACGATTTTTGTACGGCCCGCATGATTTGTTTTGTGTGTGATATGCCAAAATACATCCGCGCAGCTTTTGGTGCGAAGTTAGCGAAAAGAGGGTGAGGGCTTCGCCAGCCCGACGCCTCGTCAAACACTGGGCGGCCCTGCAGATAAGAGACCAAAAAACCCAAAACTGGCACTGGGGAGGCCCTGGAAGCAGTGAAGAGGCCCAAAAAACTCAAAACTGGCACTGGGCGGCCTGGAAATCCATTAGGCCACAAGGACAACCCAGGTAAGCTGGGATCCTGCAGGTTTTTCCTTATGGCCTAATTGGGCGCCAGAGCGATAAGCCCTCACCCTCTTTTCGTTAATTTCGCGCCAAAGGCTGCGCGGATGTATTTTGGCAAAACAATCATGCGGGCCGAACAAAAAATCGTTAAGTTCATTCAGCACCCGCAAATTTCGGAAATCAGTGTTTCAACATGAAATTTAGGGTTTAGGGTTTGCTTAAAAGACCCAAGCTGCACAAACATGCTCCCAATTGTACCTGTACGCTGTACAAATCCTGCGGGCCAAACAAAAATCGTTCAGTTCATGCAGCACCGCAAGTGTCGGAAATGAGTGCTTCAACTTGAAATTTGGGGTTTAGGGTCGCTCAAAAGACCCCAAACGGCAAAAACATGCTCCCAATTGTACCTGTACACTTTACAAAACATGCGCGGCAAATACAATCATGTTTAATTCATTCAATACCGCAAGTTTCGGAAATGAGTGCTTCAACTTGAAAGTTAGGGTTTAGGGTCGCTCAAAAGACACCAAACGGCAAAAACATGCCCAAGTCTCAAGTTACAATCCCATAGCCTTCGCTGACCTTCATTCTCTCCCAAGACTCCCAACACTCAAAAAGTATAAATGTACACTATTACTTGCCCTCCAGGCGATTATTTAAAATCTGAACTTGGGGTGGGGTGTAGGTTACAAGTCACATATATCGTTCACAATGAGTGAGTATACAAGGCGGCCTATGTGGCACATGCGTATTGTAATTGCCAACGGTCTTTTAACCGAAGTAGTGTGTTTGAACATGTCATGAATGTAACATAACATATTCAACCGTGTGTAAATTTTATTATTCTACTCCCAAGCTAGGACCGTAAATGCGTTAAACAAGTTTCGTTAAGGTCAATAATTATTACGTAGACTGTTTATACGGTTAAACCAACAATTTTCATCGGCACATGCGTATTGGATCTAATGTTCTATGCTTTGAAAATAACTAAAAGAGTCGCAACTATGTCAGATCAGGTCAAGTTCAAAAAATATAGCATCTACACCACAGAACTTCATCCGGATAGCCCTCACGGCCGGCTAGCGAAATAGCTTTGGGGGCAACGACAAGAAGCCAGGCCGGTTTTCTCTGCGTGGGGCACCGAGGAGATTCAACTTGGGTAAAAAACAGATCGTATCGCGCTTTATGATCCTTTGTTCGCATGTTGTTGTCGTTGCAGCCAACTGCAGTGCATGATGTAAAGTGCCACCTGGCAGGCAGCAGGAACTTAGATACACCGTTCGGTAAGTTTTTTGGGGTTGGCCTTCCATAGGGTTGGAGGTTGGGGTTGTTGTAAAGGGTGTGTAGGGAAAGAGGGTTCAGGTTCGGGTTTGAGCTTCTTGCCCAGCGGTGGTGCGGATCTTGGGGTTTGGATAAGTGTTCAAGGTGGGAGGCTGCCTGCATCTGTGGCTCGTGACCTGCGCGGCTCTTTTGCGCGTTGTCTGGGCTAAAAGGCGATGTAGATTCTGTAGATTTCGCTCAGTTGGAGCTCGACACCCCACGGCTTTCAGAGCCGCATCTAAACCTTCACCTGCGACTCTTAAACCACCAAAAACCTCAACCCGAAGCCTTCGCATAGAGAGCATGGAGTATGGCACGACGGCTGGTGCTGCGGATTTTGTCTTGCCATTGCCATCAAGCTGTGAGCCTGCCATGTCACCAGGACTTCAGGGTTTGGGGCTTCGGGATTCGAGCTTAGGTTTTCAAAAAGGCCTATTGGGGGCTTTTGCGGAGTGGGTTAGCATAGCCAGGGAGGAACTTGCCAGCCCCAGTCCCGACTTGCAGGTGGCGAGGCCCCGCCAACAGCGGCTTTTGGGAGCCCTCAGCAAGATGCAGGCTGGTTCCAGCCGACGTTGTTGCATCAACCTCCGGTGCTGGAGACTGTGGAGCTGTCGCCTGGGGTGGCCATCATGGACTTGAACACCGGCAAGCAGAAGGCGGCCAAGGCAGACTTTGCGCGGCCCATGTCGAGGCAGGAGTACCTCGTCCTCACGTCTTCGCCCGGCAGGCGCGACGTGCGGGCTAAGTCCTTGCCGAAACCTCGGCCGGTGGATGCCCGCGTCGCGGAAATCCAGCAGCTCTTTCAAGCCATCTCTTCACCCGCGCATCATTCGCATCATTCTCGGCCCTCGCAGCTTTCCCCACGCCGCCGGCCTCCCCTGGCGCTGTCCCCGGCGCCGTCCCCGGCGCCGTCCCCGGCGTCCCCGGCCTCCCTCTCCCCGCGCGGGGAGCGCTGTGGCTCCGCGCCGCAGAGCCCGCGACTGGTGCCGGGCCCCAAGGACAGAAGAATGTCAGATGGTGGGTAGGTGTGTTCAGGGCAGTTTTCCGCAACATCATGATGTTTTTGCTGTATTTCGGCATGCTGCAACATGAAAGCTGGGGGCAGCTGCCAACCTATGCTAACTTCGCATAGGGTCCAAGGCTTGTGCTTTTGTTGACCCTCAAAGTTCGGCTTCTCAACCAAAAGACTGTCCTCCATCCTCAGCTTGACAAAGGACCAAGGACCCTGAGGCCCAACAGTTAGAATTCGAGAAAGTTGCGTACAATGCTGGTCACAAGCTCCCCCCCAAGAAGTCCTGAACCCAAGTGAGCCCAAAGCCCCTAAATTACCGGTTTAGGGTTCATTGTTTAGGGTTTAGGGACCCAGAAACCTAAACTGTAGGAAACCCTCATTCTCTGAATTGAGCTAGGACCGAGCCCTTGGCGGAACTATCGTCGCGAACCGGCAGTTGCTCCGGGAACTCTTCGGAGGTGCAGAGGGTTTAGGGTTTCAGAGCTGTAGGTGTCAAGGTGTTGGGATTTAGGGTCGGCTTCAAGTTTCTAACAACCTACACCCTGATGCTTGAAGGTTCATAGGCTGCAAAAGGTACCTTGACGGGTAGGCTAACGGCCTTTTTCACCCACACAGCCATTCAGGATGGCTGTCCATGATATTTTTCGGCAAGCCCAAAACCCCAAAACCCTAACCTCTTGTCATGAAGGTGAGGGAGATCCGGGAGTTCCGAGTTGTTGGTTGCGGGTATGGCGGAATCTCGGGGTCAAAGAGGGTTTTGGGGGATTTAGGGTCTAACAGACGCAGAGGTTAAGACGGGTTCCGGGAGGCTACTTGGTAAGAATTTTCAATGCCTGGTCAACCCTAAACCCTAAACCCTAAACCCTAAACCCTAAACCCTAAACCCTAAACCCTAAACCCTAAACCCTAAACCCTAAACCCTAAACCCTAAACCCTAAACCCTAAACCCTAAACCCTAAACCCTAAACAACCTTTAAGCCCTGACCCTAAACCGTAAACCTAAACTCTGAACCTTGAACTTGCCAAATGGTGAGAGCCTCCCAAGATGCTACGACCGAGACCTTCCAAAACCTACTTGAAGATTCGTGGTAGTTATTGCAGGGCGACATGTTGCTTAAGACTAAAACTCTAAACCCTAAACCCTGAACCCTAAACCCTAAACCCTAAGCCCTAAGCCCTAAGCCCTAAGCCCTAAGCCCTAAGCCCTAAGCCTTAAGCCCTAAGCCCTAAGCCCTAAGCCCTAAGCCTAAACCCTGACTTAGAATGCAGGGCTTCTGCAGGCGTGCATCCTAAAGACTTGCGGGTTTAGGGTTTCAGGCTTCAAGGTTCGAGGGTGGGGGTACTCAAAACTAGGGCTAAAGGCAAGGAAACAGCACCAGAAACGCTTGGAAAGGTACCCATGAATCTATCTTCAACTGCCCGTGAACCTTCAAGCAGGTGCCAGCAAATGAGCCGCACACCGACGATGGCAGGCTCTGAGCTCTGCGGGGACAAAATTGTTTAAGACAGGGTTTCGAAGTTTACGCTTCGGGGTTTAATGTTCAAACGTGTAATCTTTTGCACGGGCTAATGGTGAAAGTTAGTACCCTGAACCCTAAACCCCCAACCCAAACCCTTAACCCCAAACCCTGCTGATGGGAGGCATTCAACCTACAGCGGAGGCTGCCCAGCTGTCCAAAGACCGCTGTCGGCGTGGCCCGAATTGCTGAAACACTGTCCGCCACATCGGCACTTCTACCCTCAGGCTCTTGGAGACCTTGATCATCCTCGCAATATCGCGACTGGAAGATGTTGGCCGAGACTGGGCTCCGCCCCATGCTTTGCTTTCGGCGGAGTGTGGCCCTCTGTGAAGAAGCCCTCGCGGAGCTAATGAGAAGCACAGCATGATGACTGTTCCGGGCATGTCCCGTGTGCAGCAGATTCTGGGCCAAACCTTCGGAATTACACCAGGTGAGGATGTGATGTGTGGAGGCAAGCAGCGCAGCTGACATGCAGAACGAGACCCGAGCAATTGCTTGCCAAAAGAAGAGCCCTCTGGAACAGAGTGGCAGCTTCAGCTTTCGCTCAGCAGCGGGTGAGAATGAAAAAAATCAAAAACTTCTTGGCTCCACTGTGGAGTTGTGCCCATGTGACTGTCAGCGTGTGAGCGTGTGCGGGCGGGAAATTGCTTTTTGCTTGCAGGGTGTCCCCGCGGAGTGCACCTCAGCATGGGCCTTTTGCTTCATTGTCGCCTTTGCTATCCTCTGCTTTCAAGCTTAGGGGCTTCATGAAGTCCACCATGTGAATCCCAAAAGGCCCCCCCTCATTTCCACAAGGTCCCTCAAAAAGAAGCTTCTGAGGGACCTACGAAGAAGACACCGAAGGGTCGTGGAAGGTTCAGGTTCAGGTACACCAAGACACGGCACCAAAGAATCTTGTCTTGTGGGGCAGCGCGGCCCCGTGAGCTCATGAGCTCGAAGACTTCAACTCCGGAGGAGGTGCTTCGGGGGGCTTGGGGCCTTGAAGGTCTTCAAAACAAAATCCCAATCCTTGAAGCCTGGTTAAGCCTGAGTCTTCAAAGCTGCCAGACCCCAAAACACCCTAAACCCTAAACCCTGTACCGTGACCCTCAACCCTATACCCCCCCCAAACCCAACAACACCCAAAAACCGCTACAGGGCTTACAGGGCCTTTTAAGCTCTTATGAAGGGCGTGACGGGGGTTTTTTAGGGCTTACAAGGCCTTGTAGGGCTTATACTAAGCATAAAACCTGTCAACCTAAACCCTAAACCCTAAACCCTAAACCCTCAACCCTAAACTTAACCCCCAAATTCTTGGGTCCCCTGTGGCCAGGTCAGCTCCCCGGTGCTGAAATGGCTTCTGCTGCAGAAAGAGAGTCAGCGGGAAGCTCGGTGGGGGGTTTGGGGTTTAGGGTTTAGGGTTTGGGGTTTGGGGTTTAGGGTTTTGGGGGGGGTTCAGGATGCTCCTTTCCTACAGGCTCGTCTACCCGGGGGGTGTTTTTGGGGGAGTTCAGTTGCACGTAATACGTGAGCCCAGGTCATAACCAATGTTGTACTAGATAGTTCTAACATAGGCTACGCGAAAACCATCTGCTAGATGGGCCGTGCTATATTTCCTTATTGCGGCAGCTGTTTCCTGGCGACGCCCGAAGCCAAGCCTTGGCTCTGCTCTGCACCCTGTTATGTTCTACGCGTGTTGGGTGTGTCCTATGCTTCTGATTCGAGAGGCGGCCAGACCCCAAAACCAACCTGCCAAACCTCCGGGCAAGCCACAGAATCCCGGTGCGGGCAGGAGAGGTGTCCTAAAGGGCCCTGTACTACTTCATTGAAGCCTGTGTAGCTCTCGGAAGGCGTGCATGAAAATCATGAGCTCACGATCACAAAGCCCCGGAGTGGGGGCGCTTAGCTACGCAAACGCACGGTACAAATGCACGCTCCCTTAACCCGCAACCCGAAACCTTGGGAACCCCAAACCCCAAGCAACTTTGGGCTGCTGAGGTTGGTCGTCCAGGAGGAGGCCGGGGGCCGCTCACGGGGGGGAAGACCTGCGATTTCGGTTTTCGGGGTTGACAGGGGTGTAGAATTTAGTGCAGCTATGGCCCGATTGTGGAGGGCCATCAAGCACCACCTGGCGGAAACGCAATCTAATGACTTTGAAAAGGAGTCGGCTCTTATTGCTGCAGGCAGGATTAAGGGGGGGCCTCCGACAACCTCCGAGTGCCTCCATGGCATCCAGACTTGCCGAACCCATCTTGCAGCAAAGCAAGGGGGTTGCCGGGAGGTCAATGGAGGTCATTATGGGACCAGTACTGGTCTCGAGGAGGAAAACCGGGCTCATCAGAACGACCGCCATCGCCCCCTGCACACGAGCGGCTTTGGCTTAAACCCTGAGCTTTGGGTTGAAAGTAGGTTTACCTTGGGGGGTAGGACCTTGACATGCCAAACCCGAAGCCTTGAACCGTATTCTCCGCGTCTGACCCTCCCAAACCCAGCAATTTTCATTCCAAGCTCGAAACCCTGCACAGCTATGCACAGCCTCAAGAAAGCCCCCAAAACCCCCGAAGCCCGGAAAGATAGCGGCAGGCCAACGACATCTTGAAGGGCGAGACGAAACACGTCAACGTGGCCAAGGGCTCAACCTGGGCTTGTCAGGCTCAGGCTTACAAGGCTCAAAGAGGGCTTCTGGAAGGCGCAAATAGGGTTGGGGCTTTGGGCTTGTAGGTCTATGGCAATGAGGTTCAGGGTTGAAAGCGTTTAGGGATTGGAGGGTTTATCGGATTCAGGGCTTGGGACTTGTAAGTTTAATTCGGGGCCTGAACCCTAAACCCAGTTCTGGGGGGTTTGGAAGCCAAAAGGCCACATGGTCAGTTCCGTGGAAGGCCCAATATGGCAGGGTCGTCTAACCCTAAACCCGAAACCGTAAACCCTTAACCCTTAACCCTTAACCCTTAACCCTAAACCCTAAACCCTAAACCCTAAACCCTAAACCCTAAACCCTAAACCCTAAACCCTAAACCCTAAACCCTAAACCCTAAACCCTAAACCCTAAACCTTAAACCTTAAACCTTAAACTCAAACCCTAAACCCTAAATCCTAAACCCTAAACCCTAAACCCTAAACCTCCACCCCTACCCAGGCCATGGTCTGCGGCCGACTTCGGACAGGGAAGCCCCTGGCCTGACTTGGAGATTGAGGGCTTAAAGGCACAGCTCGAGGGTTTGAGGGTTCAGGGTTTAGGGTTTGGGGTTCAGGGTTTAGGGTTTAGGGATGTGGGGTTTAGGGTTTGTTCTAGGGCTTTAATGGGCTCACTCAGTCTTTTTCAAAGGCGCCTCAATAAGCAAAACATCGTCCATTATGGCCTTAAACTCTACTCTAATCCCCAAACCCTGGAAGGCCCCTTTTCAAGTTTGTTTTGGTGATTTGGTTTCGGGAACAGTGTTTCAGGTTTAGTAGTAGGACGCTTGGTCGCGGAACACACTACTGTTACGTAGTTGATATGCCCTTCATAGTTCAGGTTGCTGCCCCTAACCCCACTAAGCCGTACGACTTTGGCTCAGGTCGTACCTGATGAACTGCCTGCTCAGCAGCCCCTCCTGTTTTGAGGTGTCTTCGCAGGCCTGGCTCGTTGCTCTGCGGAGAGGGGGGACATGCTGAGCTGTGGTACCCTAAGCCCTAAACACTAAACCC